TTCCCACACATCTCAACACAATACAACTACCTCTCTGTAAAAGACAACACCCAGTTACAAAGCCTAAGTTTTCTCCTACTGGTCTTCTTTCTTATTTCCACTCAATCGTATTAGGGTATCAAGTTGTAACCCTTGATGGTGTCTGTTTGACAACCATCATGACTGGGTGAAGTAGAATGCATCTGCCTTTGTCATTAAGACTGAGAGCACTACTCAGTGGCAGGCCACTGACTTAGCTCTAATCTTTTACTGGTGAGTTGCTAGATAGCAAAAATGGTCATTTTGGTGATGAAAACTGGTGTCCTCTAGCTGGGTATATCCCTATAGAGGTGCTATGCAAAAGATTCAACATGTTCAGAATTAGATGGTCAAAATTTGGTCAATTTACCAATCGTGTCAAATTCAATATTTTGATAGGCTGTAGATAGGGAAAACATGGGCAAATTAATGATGTTCTACTGTACATAGGTCATATATTATGTGCTAGCTGCTGGTTTTTCCTAATAGGGTTCAACAACAACAACAACAAAAAAGCCTTTATTTAGGGTCACTGACCCTATACAGGATTCACCAGAGGTATGCATAAGAACAAAGCAGTGAGACAACGGAAATAGCGATATATACAGAGTAAAAAGAGAATGAAAAAAAAAAAAAAACAAGAAAAGGAAAAAAAAAAATAATAATAATAAGAAAGAGGGAAGCAAGAAATCAACACAAAAAGAGTAGCAGTAAGAAAGTGAGGAGTGAGTATCACTTGGCCTTCTTCTGAGATATGGACTTGTGGAAACCATAAAACGCCGTAGCAATATACTTATTCTGGGTCATATTGTCAATTATTGATGGAAGTGAAGCACAGAGTTGCCCAGTTTTGAGCATAAGGGTTCTTCTTTCTTCTTTCAGAGCAGAGCAATCAAAAATATAGTGAGTGATTTCATTTTGTAGTTTTGAATTACAGAAGGTACAAGTCGGGTCCTCACCGCAGAGCATCTTGGTGTGGTTTTCTCTAAAAAAACTTGAAAGTATTCTAACTTGTGCGAGTAGTCTTACAACCGGGAAAGGAAAATCCCCTAAAAGGTATCCCTCCGTCATGAAAGATATGTGAATGTCTTTGTAGTGAGAGTATAGCTTAGATTTATCCATTCTTGTAAGGTCGTTTTGTATAGATTGGTCTGCCGCTGTTTTTAAGAGCCCTGTAATCGCGCTCCTCAGCGTTTCAGGGTCATCACAGGAAACAAGTGCAGGGGATCCATTATCGTTAAGCAGATTAGTGTAATAGGGTTCTAAATGTATAGGAAATAACTATTTGATTTTCACAAGGTAATAAGACCAAATAAATAGTGTGCGACGTTTCGGTAACAACGTTGTTACCGAAACATCACACACTATTTATTTATTTGGATTTGGTCTTATTACCTTGTGTTTATAATCTATAATCCAAATTGTGCCTCTATTTGATTTTCAAAAATTATTTGGTAGATAATACTTGTGCAATATTCCTCTTTGTTTATAAGAAAAAAAAAATGCAACACTAAAGTAAAACGACATTTGAAAATTATCCCGTATGTGTTTCTTTTGAACGAACAATCAAAATTTATTTTAAGGAGAAATAACGATTATTTCTAACCTTAGGGATGAAGTATAAAAGAATGAATTGTGAAGAGTAATGATAAACAGAAAAATAAAAGTGCCTAGGGATGGGAAAAGGTTAGAAATTATCGTTATTTCTCCTTAAAAGAAACACATGCGGGATAATTTTCAAATGTTGTTCTACAATCATAAGCCGCATTATATTGTGTTATAAAGTATTTCAAACCACCATTTTGATAATGACTTGTACAATCTACCCAATAATAAATCTTTGCTGCTTTTCACATGTGTAGACATGTGGTGCGCTTACAGTAAAAGCAGTCGCTAACTACCTACCATGATTATCATGGCCTGTACCACATGTACTAGGGATAAGCAAAAAATAATAATAATATAAATAAATAAATCTTTGTAAAAAAAAACAAAATTGAACAAAATTTCATTCATCATTGCACTCAATGATGTCTTCAGACATCCAGGCACAGGAGTCAACCTCCCATCATTGGTATCTGAACCCTGGAGCTATTCTGGAAAGTGCGATGAACCGACAATAAACACCTTGTATATATTTCCAGGCTTAAAACTGGCAGCCATACAAGACTGTTCCTTTTCCAGGATGGTGTCAAGACAATGTACCATCTACAGGACCAAAGAGACCTCACCAGACCACTTCTTGGAATAACTACAATATGCTTTAATTAAAAAGGCATATGTTAAAGCACAATTTGGATTATAGATTATAATAAAAGAAAACAAGACCTAATCCAAATAATTTATTAGTGTGTTGCACAATTTGGATTATAGATTATAATAAAAGAAAACAAGACCTAATCCAAATAATTTATTAGTGTGTAATCCAAATTGTGCTACACACTAATAAATTATTTGGATTAGGTCTTGTTTTCTTTTATTATAATCTATAATGTCACACACTAATAAATTATTTGGATTAGGTCTTGTTTTCTTTTATTATAATCTATAATCCAAATTGTGCAACACACTAATAAATTATTTGGATTAGGTCTTGTTTTCTTTATTATAATCTATAATCCAAATTGTGCAACACACTAATAAATTACACGTATTTGGATTAGGTCTTGTTTTCTTTTATTATAAAAAGGCATATATTGGATCAAAATATTGGTAAAATAAATGATTTTTTGATCTAATATATGCCCTTTTTAAAGATTTATTTATGGATTGCTCTAATTTCAAAACAAAAAGCTTTATTAAGACCTTTTAGTCTTATACAGATTCTCCAAGCAGACCACCTCTTAGAATGTATGGGAGCCTCAAGACAGGACCTATATTCCAACCCTACCAAGATTATAAATTTAATCCATAAATTCTGTCTTCATGACCCTTGTATAATTATATAATGAGATAATAATAATAAAAAAATAATAAAAACTACAGAAATATTGGGAGTATTTTCAAAAAATACACAAAATATATGTTTTTATTATCTTACATATGTTACACAGTTACTTTATTTAAAGTATCTTACTTTAGAACAAGACAATAATATACAGGGTTGAGAAATGTTTATAATACAACAAAGCAAATTAGTCCTCACTCAAAAACTTCCTCTTGTGAGCTGTGTTCATGTAGGGCCGCAGCACCCATTCCACATCTGATGTGCCCTCCATGCCAATGGTGCCTTGGATCAGTTTGTAGAGCCGTAGGTTGAATCGCGGCCCCAGTGTGGATAGGTTAAATTTTCCTTCAAATTTATCCTTTCTCAAATGTTCAAATGTGATCACATCGTTACGATTGAAGAAGCTTACAATCCTCTTGCTATTTGCCTTTGGTACCGGGAATAAATACTTCAGTATATCTTGAACTCTTTTACCAAGTGTTGAGGTAAAATTGTGGAATATTAGTTGTGGGTAGGCTTGAGGCATATGTCCATCTTTATCAGGAATGTCATGTCTCATTGTTACGTCACTTAGACTGAAATATGCTGTGGGTCCAAATGGCAAATGGCTTATGATAATCCCGTCTGGTACACCTCTTGTTTCACACAAAATTAGAATATCGCTGAAATTCTGGGCTGTGCAGGCACCAACAATATCCTTCACTGTTAAATTACCACGATTTAAACGTAGGGTATTGGGTACCATAAGTTTTATTTCCTTGGCAAATTTCTTCAATTTGGCGCTTGGATCGCGACTAGTTGTTAAAAAAATCTTTGGATCCGCAACGCTAGCCCATTTATATTCGTCATCTCTACTTGTGGTATAACCCTCACCACCCTCGTCGTCAAACTTGAGCGACTTTTGAATTTTCAGGGCATCTTTTTGTAGTTCTGTTGGTATCGCATGTTCTTCGTCTAATGCTTTCCGTATTGCATCTTTACCTTCTTTGATCGACTTAACTCGATTTTCGATGTTTTTTCTATAAATAAACTCTCTTCTTAATCGTTGTTGTCGTTTGAACATATTTGTTTATTTAAATAACTTTAAAAATCCCAAAAGAAAGTAGGTATAATTTTCAAAACAAACGTGTTTAGGAGGCAAAGTCTTTTACGTTAAAGATCTCATGAAAAGAATGATGATTGAAAAAAATATATTTTTGAAATTTTATAATAATTAAATAGACTAATTTATTTTTAAAAATTATTTGTAGTTCAATTTTTTTAGTTTTTAAAGTGGGAATATATATAAAATATTTAACTATATGTAAAGGTATTTTGCTTTTATAGAGTAAGTCAGTTGAAATGGATAGTTTAATAATCTATTGTGGCCAGTTTTAATGTGTTTTAAAATTTAGTGTTAATATCTTATTTTTGGAGATATATCAAGTGCAAGAATACACATTTTTGTTGTTGTTGTTTAAAGGTGATCTCTATTGAAAATATAGTAATATAAATATATAAAAAGTGCGTATATGGATCAGTGAAAAAAAATTCATAAAATTTCGAAGAACTGCACTCTTTATCAACTTATTGTACAAAAATCTTAATTATTTTATTTTCAAAAATCCAGGTACGCCTTTTTTTATACATAGTTATCACCACACCGTTTGCGCAAGCAGTTTTAGATAATTAAATTATTCAAACTTCTGAGATTAAGAGTTTAATCATAGGACACTAAATGCATAGAGACGAATATCAAAGAAGAGTTTTGAAAGCTTTTATATAAGAAATATAAATGTGAAGAAATGCTTGAAGAGGATGCATGTAGGTGGATTGGTTCAATCACAACCCACTTATATTTTGAAAAGATGAAGTAAATATCATAAGGGATATCATAAATAATAATGATTATAATGATAAGCTAATTAATAATAAGCCTGATTTTCGCTCATTAAAATATACAGTTATCAGAGTCATCAATCAATCAATAATTCTGTCACCGTTTGCTTTTGTGAATGGAATAAATACCCAAATGTGGCCATTTTTTATAACCATCGGTGGTTCAGTGGTAGAATGCTCGCCTGCCACGCGGGCGGCCCGGGCTTGATTCCTGGCGGGTTCGAGGCCGATGCCATTTTTTTTTACAATTTTTAAAACTCATTTATATTATTAAAATATACAAGTATCAGAGTCATCAATTCTGTCATCGTTTGCTTTTGTGAATGGAATGCTTTTACGTAATATACATACGTAAAATACTAACTAATGACTGAAATTTTAGCAGTATGTATAATAGAATCTGGAAAAACTTATATGGAATATTTCAGGTCTCTATCCCGAATATATTCTTGAGTTATTTGCAAATTTGCTCTTTCGCTCACAAGCAGCGCCTCTAGCGGTGAAGATGGGAGGTAATATCAGCTGACCTAATGTACATGTAAAACGTGTTTTAACAGGACATAGAAAAAAATATGGAAAAGATATTTGTCGCATTTTTAGCCAAGAAAAATTGAAATTGACAGGTTCTGGGCAAAAATAGTTGTTTTTTTTTTTTTAGTCAGAAAATGATTATGACAATATTGCTGTATCATATTTGATTATCAGATACAAAATTATATCCAGAAAAATTCCAAAAAGCAGAGACCACGGTGAAGCCAGTTCATTTTTAGTATGCAGGAACACACAAAATTCTAACAGAAAAACATTCATTTGAGCAGAAGACACAAAGCCAGATCATCTCTTTATAAAAATATCGCTTCTCAGACACAAAGTTTGGAGCGAGACATTTCACAAGAATGTAAGGCCACAAAAATCAATATTAAAAGAATAAACCTGGGCATTGCCAGTCATTTTCTATATAGTATATATTATCCAAAAAATAAAAATGAATTGTTTTATATAATGTTTGATTTATATCAATTTTTGTGAATATTTATATTTATTCACCCCAGGAGAGAGATTTAAAAAAAAATCAATTTAAAATATTTTTGTTTGCTTAAACCTATATATAAAATAATCTGTTTAATTTAAATTTAACTTATTTAGAAATTGGCTCCACATATGAATTATTTATAATTGAGCTCTCTTCAAGTAGGGATATAAATCCTTTTAATATCAAAAGTAAGTTTCATTTTTTTTTTTGACACTTTGTCTCATTTTATTTTTCTCCAAACATTAAAGTCATATTTTGGCTACAAAGAGAAAATATAAAAATTGGTTTATAAAAAAACCTCTAAATCAACCAATTATTTGTATCTAAACACAATAAAATTGATGCCAAAAGTAATGTGATGTTAGCATAAAGTTAAGTGAATGGTAAAAGCAGGAGAAATAAAGTGTAATTTGTGACTAATTTATTCATTTATTTTTGTTCAAAGGCAGTTTTAGTCCATCACCAAAATAGTGGCCTCTATTTATAAATTTATATAAAAAATGCATACTGTATTACTTTTTTTTATCAGATACAAGTACGCTTTTTTAATATAAATGTTTAATGGATCGCCTTTTAGCCGAAATAGCGACCTGTTTTTTAGGCTATGATGTCAAGTTCATGGTATGGAACAAGGTTAGCGACAAATTTGTTGGTTTGTATCCAGCTGATTCTAGGGCTTTCTAATTTCTAAATATCGTTATTATTTCAAGTAAGGTTATTTGTGTAGAATTTTTTCATTCATTCAAAAGATGAATCATCAAATTTAGTAACTGAAAAATAAAAATCGGTAAATGATTGATAAAATATGATGATGCTGATAAAATAAGAAATAACTAAGTTCATGGCAGCAGTAACATCGTGATTTTTCAAAGAATTATGTAAATGCTATCATTGATTTCTTGAGAATTACGATACAAAGAAATTTGAAAACAAACTAGGTTAGAATTTTCGGCTATAGTTACCGAAAAGTCTCAAAAATTAACAAATAAGGCAAATTAATCATTTATTGTTTTTAGCGCTCTAGGCTTATCTCCATTTGAAGAGATAAAGTTCTAGATAAAAGATTTATTGGCCAGAAAAGTCAATATTATATTTGCCTAAGTAGGAATAATTTTTATATATTATTAAATATCAGAGAGATATAAATAATAGGTTTTACTTACTAATCCTAAATTACAAGGGGAATTCAAAGTTGATGTAACCAAAAGATTCAGTACACGTTTTCGCTTTTACACGGTTTTCCAAATAAGTTTTTTATCGCACTATACTAAATGCTACTGTGAATTAATACATGCGCTGTGTACACACCTCACGAGGAATCCCGAGCTTATGTGCTGACTACATATTTTAACCTGTCAATGCATTTTATTTTTATTTCTGTGTACACCTATCCCCTCGATTTACACGTTTTTCTCAGGAACGTATCTACCGTGTAAATCGGGGGATAGGTGTATTTATATATATTTTTTTATGTTTTTAAATGGTCTATTCGCTAATGATATCAGAGGTAAATAAAACTAATCAATTAAATTCATTTCATAACGTGCAAGTTAACGTTCTAGAAGTGTAAAGACAAGCTTACCTATTAGAGAAATTTTATTTATAAAAATATAATTTATTCAAAAATATATTCGTTTGTAGTTTTGTAAGTTTTATCTCTTTTGATAAATTAAAATATATATTTTATTTTATTTCGAGAGATCATCTTCACTCACCCAAGGGATTGTTATTGTTTTAAAACACGTGTTGAGCTCCTATATTTGGTTGTGAATTGATAGAAGAGAGCTCATGCTTATTTTCTAAGAATGGCTGTTGTTTAGAGAAATTGTATTAATATATATATCATTACTATTTTTTTTTTTTAACATAAAAAAAAATCACGTTTTATACAAAAAGCTTTTAAATAAATTCTTAATGTCTTTACACACAATGATTGCTACTACGTGTTATTTGTTCAAAATTAAAACTAATTAGAGAGAAACCTCATTTATTATATTATATGATTAAATAAAAATGTATTTTTATCGGGAAACCTGGGTTATAAATATTTCTCTTATTTTAAAGAAATTATTAAAACCCTAACATTTTATATATCGTTTTTAATTATAATTTATTTTTAAATGTATGCATTTAGAATGTATACATCTCTAAATATCGTATTATGAATGTAGTAATATAAAGGCTCCATAGATCGCCAACTATCTCGGCTCGTATTGGGAAATTTAGTAAATATCTTTATTTATGGGGCTGCTAACCAAAATAAAATGATTTTTGAGCCCCAATGGCCGAGTAAAGCGGAATATATAAAACCACTATGACCAGGCTGGAGAGGCTAGGGACAGGATCTCTGTCAGGGAAGAGGCAGGTTAGGCCGGATTGGATCCACGGAGGTCAGGAGGCAGGAAGAAGGCGGGAGGACTAGAACTTTGCAGCTCTAGCTCTGTCAGTTGGGCAAGACATTGATCTTGCCTCGTGGTCGGCAGAGAGGCCCTTGGACGAGCAGTTGGCGCACTTGGCCTTGCGCGGGTTGGCGAGAGTTGGACAACTTCGGCCTTGGTGGTCACCAGAAGCGCAGTGGAAGCAGGTGACCGTAGCCATGGTGCACTTATCGGCATTGTGGCCGTAGCCACAGCAGCGGTATCATCGCGGATAGACTCCTCGTAGTTCAGGATCACTTGGTCCACAATGATCCTGCAGCGTCTTCCAATAGCCTTGTAGGAAGCCAAGTCCAGCTCGATGAAGGCCGTGCAGGTGCCATTTCTGGTCGGAGATCTGTGTGCCACTCGGACAGACTTGTCTCCAGGAAGCTGGCTCAGGGCATCAGTGGAAAGGAAGGCCTTGACAATGTCCTCATCCGCGGTTTCCACCTCCATGTTGAAGAGGCAGATTCTTGGGAGAAATTGCCTCAGTTCGCAGACTTTCAGGCCTTGGAGCTTGTTGTTCAGGGCAGAGCTGACGGCAGGAATGACCTCTGGAGTGTTGGAGTGCAGCACCAGTTTTCCCCTGGTGCGCAGAGATGCCCAGACGCCTTGGATTGGGAAATTTAGAAAGTTACAAGCTTTTTATTTTTATCTATAGAGGGATATTCCTATTTATTTATTTTTTCAAAATTGAAACTATATCATAGATTATTTTAACCAATTTAATTTTGTGCCACAATGCATATTTTTAATTTTTCTTTTTTGCTTATCCCTAGTACACGTGGTACAGGCCATGATAATCATGGTGGGTAGTTAGCGACTGCTTTTACTGTAAGCGCACCACATGTCTACACATGTGAAAAGCAGTTCGACTTTGCACTTACAAATGCCAGAGCCCCGTTTGGTTACTTGCACTCGCTGGTGGGGTTGGACTTTTGCAAGAATCGGGGGCCATTGGAGCATTTTTTTTTTTTTTTAACAGAAAAAAGTGTCCAATGCGGGAATCGAACCCGGGTCCTAGTGGTCTAAAACCAAACGGTTTAACCAATGTATAGTGGAGTGGCAATAGGTGAACTGGAGTTTTATTTGGAGTAAATAAAAAGTTTCACATACAGAACCAAAATAGGTCTCAGATATTAAATTCATTTTCTGTGAATGCAATATTTCCATAGTGTAAAAAATTATTTTTATATATTAACCTAATTCTCTTTTCAAGATATACTTTTGATATAAAATTTATGGGTAAATATGTATATATGTAAAGTGAATATGATGAAAATAAAAACTTACCTTTGGAGTGTTATATTGGGATAAAGTTGAGTCAGATTCCTGAACAAAACAAGAAATAAAGTTGTACAATCCTATACAGTAGAAACTACCTCTCTGTAACGGACAACACCTAGTTGCTGAGAGCCAAAGTGTTCTCAAAGAGAGGTATCCTCTTACAGAAGAGTTGATTAATAGTAAAAATGGTAATTTTGGCGATGAAAATTGTCCTTTGTAGAGCTCCTCTATAATGGGAGTATCCTCTTATGGAGAATATTAGAAATATATCAGTGGGTATAAAAAATATGTCTTGCTTTTTCAGGTTTATAAGAGGTAATGTTTTGTAAAACCTACCTGAATTTTATACCAGTCCACCAATGCGTACAACCAACAAAAATAAGCTCCGAGAACCTTATAAACAACTTGTATAATTATGACGCATAGCGCGCCATCTTTTATGAATATTCGAAACTATTATAGATGCGTATGATTCTTTTGAAAATT